AGCAGGGGTGGCCATGGGCAGGGCCGGGCCGTGTCTGGAAGCAGGGGTGGCCATGGGCAGTGTGGGGCTGCAGCTAAGCCCCAGAAAGGCTGATTGAGATCTCAGCCGCCCCTCACCCAGCGCAGCCTGGGCCTGGGGCATGGCCCAGCCACTGCAGCTTCTGTGTGAAACTTTAACTCTTTTAGTGCTCAGATAAGACTTGCAGACCTCCAATCTTCCTTTGAATGAGAGGGAAAAACAGAGGAGCTACTCCAAAGTCAGCGAAGCAAGAGCTAGGTTTTTAGATGGAAGGAGAATGAGGAGATGCTGTGAAGGTTGGCTGAAAAATCCTTTTGTAAGCTATAGGGGTGGACTCTACTACACTGAAAATTCCTATAAACCGTGGAGAAAGACATGGGGGTTGAAGTGTTCCATTCGATAAATCATTGACCAAAAGTACCTGTGTTGAGGATCTTTTGCCCCGAGGAAAAGAAGGGGATCTCTGTCTTCTGGAGATGAAGCATGAACAGAGAGAGAGATGAAGAGAACTTTTGCTTTGAAACAGTTCGTTCTTAAAAGTAACACCCATGAGTTTAACATGGCCCACAAATATAGCTCTGGGAAGGCTATGAAGATGGGAGGAGGCTCATGACTTTGCAGATTTTCCCCGGGTGGCTGCTGTTCATGAGGAAAGTGGAGTTACAAGAAAACTGGGGTTTTTTCCCTCTTGGAAAAGAAATCGCTATAGCCAAACAAGAAGAAGCTTCTCTCCCTGAAGTGAACTGAATAAGATTATTTAAGTAGGGAACTGACTGAAGTGTCTTTGTATGTTGTTGTTAAGCAGGAATGGGAGGAGGGAGTGGTCTGAAGATCTTATTCTGAATTTACTATTTTCTTTTTTTTGTGTAGTTAATAAAGTTTTTTATACCCTTTTAAGTTTTAGGCCATCTTTGCTTTTGCTCCTGGTTCTGTCTCACAACAGAAGATGAGTCTATTTAAACTGGCAAATCAAAACTATAACATTTATTGATTGGTGCATTGGCCGGGAAATTCAAATTTAACCAAGACATAAGTATTCGCTACAAACATTTCTTCTTAGTTAGATGGAGATCAGTGATTCAGCTCAGCAAGGTGTGAGTTGCCATCATCATTTGTCTGCTCATTTTGTAGGTGCTTGCAGAGTTAGAGCTTCAGTTTGCCAGTTCTTGGCATCATACCAAAAGGATAATTTACAAGTGCCTCCTTCAAGTTGAACTCTGCTTCTTGGGATTTGCTATAGCTTTCCAGAGCATACTCTGTTGAAAGCAGGGAAATGGGTACTCAGCCCACCTTTTTGGTGATGTGGGCCACTGTCACGATCCACTGTTAATACAGGCAGGAGTTGTGATGGTTCGTTTTGATCTCAATGGGTGCAAAAGACAACAACAGAGGACAAATCAGTTTGCTCAAAGCAAAATGCACTTTTATTCAGTGCCAACAACTCAGTTTTGTGATAGAGGGAGAGTTAAAGGAAACAAAGTAAAGAGAGAGAGAGAAAGGGGGGAATGGGGAATAGCTACCAACAGACGACATGGATGTCCTCATGGTCTGGCCCAACAGACTCCGGTGTCCTCATGGTCCCAGCCAATAGACACGTCATCTGTGGGGAGATCTCAAAGGCTTCCCCAGAGGGTCGCTTTCTTATGGTCCTTTTCCAAAGCGAGTGGAGTCTGGCCAAGAGGTGGGAGATTTATGGGCCATTGTGAGGTGCTCTGATACAGAACATGAAGTGGTGCTCCAAGAAGTAGCTGTAGGTGTAGTACCTGTTCTTATCTGTTCTAAGGCACTGTACCGTGGACAGCACAGCAAGCACAGAGCACCAGCAAACAGTCCCTTGGCCAGCATCCACCTCGGCCAGGCCAGAACTCCTGTCCCAAAGCATGTGGGGGTCCTCGGGGTAGCCTCTGTCCTCGTGACGGTCTTGAGGCATATGAGAGAAACTCCAGACCGACTCTTACAGCCATGACACCATCACCATAGTCTTACCTACATCCATGACTCAAAATTAGACTAAGAAAAAGTTTCAGAACAGATAAATTCCTCTGTTCAGAACAGGATGGATTAGGGATTTCTGGTTTTGTTTCATGGCATAGATAAATAAGTCTATCTCACTGTTACTGTATATTTGACAACATTTGTTTTCAGGCACTTTTCCTTCTCTCATCAGTTAATGTTATTGCTGCTGTTCTTTACATACCCTACCTGTGACAGCAAAGCAATTCTCTTGTACAGCATAAAAACTTGATGCCAAATTTTCTAATATATAGAGAAAAAAATCATACACCTTGCTTTAATACATTAATCCACAAAATATATACAGCAAGATTAGATGAAGAACGTTAGAGGTGATTACAACACTGGCAAAAAAAAGATACTATAAAACAAACTCACCCGTAAAATGTGAGACGCAGGAACCCAATCCTGTGGCCAAGTCTCATCAATTCTCCCTGTCTTGTAGCAGCTCCTGTCAGTAGAACAATTCCTACTTTCTTTAGCATGCACAACCACTTGTATGCACTTTCATCATTGTACATGATTTCTTCAAAAGGTATTTTGGGAAGTTGAAGGTTTGAGCCCCAGTACTGACGTTCTGAAAGGGAAGAAATAGAGAAACAAGTTCTTAGCTGTTTTAGCATCAAAACTCAGGACACAGTCAAAGCAGGAAGTTAGTGGGATTTCTATGTATTTGTGAATATTCCTCAATCCTGCAAACCATCTCGAATAGGGTCCCTGAGTTTGCACGGATGACAAGCAAACTTATGATGAAATTCAGCAAGACACTGTAGTATCAAAATTTTAGGTCAGAAGTTGAATGAAAGGACAGTTTGAAAGGAATATTTTTTGTTAACAGTGCATCAGAAATGTGTGTATTCATTTTTCCGTCTGTACTGGTAAGCCACAAGAGTGAAAATTTGCAAATACAATTGCTTTGAAAGTTTCTTGTCAAGAGTGAAAAACCATGGAGCACCCTGAGACATCCCTCATAGGTCAACCCATAGAGTTACTTGACTTCAAACCCATCACTTGGGACTATGATGGTTCTACCTGGGTTCAACCAATTAGCCTGCAGGGTTACTTGAGGTCAAATTAATGAGTTTGGACAATGATGGGGTCATGTGAGGTCAACCACTTAGCCTACAGGGTCACTTCAGGTCAAATTCATTGGTTGGGACTGTGCTGGAGTTACGTGAGTTCAACGAATTAGCCTTGGGGTTACTTGATGTCAAACTCATGGCTTGGGACCATGCCAGCCCATGCTGAGCTCTGTGAAGAAGCTTCTCAAAACCCAAGGCCAGCTGTTTCAGTTTCCCTAGCCAGTGCCTGTGAAACACTTTTCATGCCCATTCATTTTCCGCCTCTCTGTTCTGTGGACATCCCACCTGGATTACTGCAGCCAGCTCCGGGGTCTCCAACACATGAAGGACATTGACCTGTTGGAGTGGAGCAGGGCATGTCCCCTGCCCTTAAGAGCTTGTCAGCTGGCGCAGTAACTCAGGGCATCTAGCCTCTCACATAAATTTGCTAATTGGTGAAATAACTCCATCAGGACAGCTTGAGTTAATAAGTTATTTGGGCACCATGGGATTACCATTCCTAATTGACAATAAACATCTTGCTGTGGAAGCAGATGTGGAAAGATAAGTTGGAATTTCTGACTGACAGACACCCCACTTTACAAACTATAAAAGCTACACCATATATTCACAATGCAGAAGTCTTCTGCATATTCACTGGAAATGTATGGGGTCTTGTCCCCAAAGTCTGGTAGGCCTGCTTTGTGGTTACTCTCTTGAGAGTTGAGTGAAAGGATTCTGTGTACACTATTGACAATTCAGTGGTAAGTTACATTGACTTAAATATTCTATTTCTTTGCTACATATAATATAGGGACCTTTATGTTGTGCACTGTTTTATGTAATCTGCTAGTAGCTCTTTTGTTTTATACAGTGTAGTAAATTGTAGAAATAAAGCTGGAGAGCAGGGCTCAGAGCACTGCTCAACTCATGACTGAAGTGGATATACTAAGTTTGATAGGCCACAAGCCCTGGCGAGCCGAGGCAGAACCCTGAACGGGAAGCCAGAAGGTGTGCTTAGTGTGCTCAGTTTAAGATGAATCATGCAAGACTCTATGTGCCTATGCTGGTCTGTACAGGTCTGTGAAGAGGGTCTGTGCAGATCTTTGATTAAGTAATGTTACTTAGAAACACCAATTGTGTGGTTGTGCTATTTTTAGCTATAGTTGAAAAGGTATATATATTGATGTGTGAAATCAATACATTGGCTTAACAGTTGCATCAAACGGGGGTCTTGTCTCTTTGTTATGCAAGTGGGGGTCCTGTCTCTGTTGATGGCTGTCAAATGGAGCCCTTGGTGTGAGGAGGTCACTGCCTTACTGTGCAGCTGGGCAGTGGGGCCCGCAGAACTGAAGTGCTGCTGAAAGGAAGCAGGAAAGCTGGCCAGTGACTTTACTACCCCTCCGGGATTAAGGAGCTGAGCACTGTGGGAGACAATATGGGTCAGGAGATGTCTGACCAAGAAAGAGATGGATTTGAACTTATGACTAAGCTGCTCCAGTAGCATGGCAAATTTTTGCCTTCCCATGACTTAAAAATCTTATTAAAATGGGCATCTGTTAAGTTACCAGGAGCTACCAAGTCCACAGTCTTTACAACAGATCTATGGGACAAGGCTGGAATTAAACTGTGGGATTTGGCAATGAAGGGAGACAAAGCAGCTGCAGAAATGCTCCCTTCTTGGCAGGTTATTTTTGAAGACCTGACAGCCCAAGAAAAATCCCATGCTAAAGGTAAAGTAGATACCTGTCCTCCCTCCACGGCAAAACTTTAAAGTGCATTCAGTGCACTTTAAAGTCTAAAGAAACTGCCTCCCCTTGCTGCAGCCCAGGTTCCCCCCCCCCTAAATGAAAGGAAAAGGGGTCCGCTGCAATCTGTAGGGATATTTGCTGCTAGCTACTGCCCAGAGGATAGCAAGGAAGATGAGGAAAAGGACCCCCTTGACCCTCGATTTATTGACCCTGACGAACAGCCAAACTTATATCTCCTCGACCTGCAAGACAACTGGGTTTGCTTAAAACAACAGGCATTGTTTTAGGGAAGGGAAATTGGACATTGCTGGAAGAATTGTGGCTCCTGTAACATACTCAGGAACACCAAAGCTAACTGCCTGATGGGAGCCACTGTCCTTTTCAGTGATCAAAGAGCTCCAGCGAACAGTCATGGAGCACGGAATTGGCTCTTTGTACTTTGTGAGCTTGCTAGATTCTGTGTTTGCTGCCCATATAATGACGCTGCATGACTTAAGATCATTGGCTCAGCTATTGTTAACTCCTACCCAATACGCTTTATGGGAAAAAGAGTGGGAAAAGGGACTGCAGAACATGCTTATATCTTTCATGGGTCATCCTAATCAAAACCTAGCAAACCTTACAGCTAGACAACTTATGGGAACGGGGCCATATATAAATCCTGCTGCCCAAGCCTGAGACTGCTCAAGAGAGGCTCTTGAGGGCACCCGAGAAGCACCTCAGCTGGCATTCCTTAAGGTCCCTGATTCCCAAAAACCACAAAAAGCTTTTACATCCATTATTCAAGAAGCAAAAGAGCCATATATGCAGTTCGTTGACTGCCTTAAGCAAGCGCTCGAGTATCGAATTGATAACCCAGACACTCGGGAAATTTTGCTTTTAAAACTTGCTATTAAAAATGCAAACACAGACTGTAAAAAACCTTCTTAAGTCCTTACCAAACCAAAATCTGACCATGGCTGAAATGATTTAAGCATGTAACCACATTGGGACAATAGAATATTAATATGAAGCCACGGCTGCTGCCTTTGCAACCATCAATAGTCCCCCTGGGACTCCACAAGTTTGTTTTAACTGTGGCAAACCTGGCCACCTTAAAAAAGACTGCTTAGGTCCAAAAGGAAATAATCCTAAACCTTTTGCTTTGTGTCCACGGTGCTGTAAGGTCTGTCATTTCGCCATGCAGTGCTGCTCTAGGTATGATTCTGAAGGTCGTCTGATCCAGGGAAACTGGAATCGCAGCGCAGGCTGGCACCGCGCTCAGACACAATTGCGTCAGCTGTCACCACAGACAATACCTTTGCAGATGCCACCTTCACAGATACTGCCTTCGCAGATGCCCAACGAAGGGTCTCCACAAGTCTTCACCCAGCAACTACAGGCAGCACTGAACTGGACCTGGCAACCTCAGGCACAGTAACTTTATTTGATTCTTTTATTCATTTACTCTCTACAGAAATTTTTGGACCACCGGAGCCTGGAAAAAGTACTCTACTAATAGGGAGATCTTCAACCTGCCTTTTCAGACCTTTGATTATTCCAGAAATCACAGACTCAGACTTTGTTGGGGAAATTAAAACTATGGTTTGGACTCCTTTTCCACCCTATAGTGTCCCTCAGGGAACCCGTATTGCACAGTTGATTCCCTTTTCAAATGATCCGACACCTACTGCAGGGGAACACGAAGAGGGGGTGGGAGGATCTAGTTCTACAGGGACCCCACAAATATTATGGGTACAAACAATTTCTAAGAAACGTCCCACTTGCAAATGCACCCTGTCATTACAGGACCACAGATAACACTCATTGGTATTCTAGATACTGGAGCAGATGTGACTGTTACCTCTCAGGCTAAATGGCCCCCCACTTGGAACCTTATAGAGGTACCCCAAGCCCTCACTGGGATCGGGGGGAACAGTCACAGCTACCAAAGTCACCATCTTGTTCAAGTAACAGGACCAGGAGGTCACATAGCTTCTGTAAATTAATTTGTTTTGCCTGTACCCATGGTGTTATGGGGACAAGATATACTCTCTCAATGGGGTCTCAAATTCCAGTCGAATTTTTGATAGGGGCCACTGAGACATGCATCACCCTGAAATTAACCTGGAAATATGATACACCTATTTGGGTGGCCATTCTTAAGAACTTGCAAACCAGAACAATTTAGGTGCAGGTCACCTAAAGCTGAGCTATTGCCAAAAATCTAAGCCTAAGGGAGGGCTTGTCTAAAGCTCTCACTTGATCCATAAGTGAGTCCAGAGGAGGCCACCAAGTTGGTCAGAGAGTTGGAGCACCTCTCACATAAAGAAAAGTTGAGAAAATTGAGATTGTTCAGTCTGAAAAAAGAAGACTTCAAGGTGACTTAACTGTGGGTAGTGAAGCACTGGAACAGGTTGCCCAGGGAAGGTGTTGAAGTGTTCAAGGCCAGGTCTGATGAGGCTTTGAGGGACCTGGTCTTGAAGGTGTCCATGCCCATGGCAGGGGGGTTGGAACAGGATGATCTTCAAGGTTCCCTTCCAACCCAAACCATTCTGTAATTCTATGATCCCAGAGCACAGCTGGAGGAACTCTACCACTGGGGCTCCCTTGCAACTCTCACTAGGTATGTTTCACTTACTTTTAACTTTAGTTAACCTTAACTATTTGGCCTGAGGTTTTCTATGGCAGTGTCTGCCAAAAGTTTCAACAAAGACTAAAAGGAATCAAACCCCTAGACCAGTGAAAAGTATAATGTTCATATCTTACCAGTAGCATACAGGAGA